TTTGTTCAGAGGGCAGAAAAGATAAGCACTTCTGCTAATCACCTGCACAGCTGAACAAATGCAGATCTGCTCTACGTGGCCTTGGAGCTGAGTAAAAATTACCTCCATAGACTTCACGTGGGTGCATCTGACTCTATTCTGCCACTACTTAACATTTCAGAGAAAACTGCAGCCATTTTTCTTTTCTCATTTCCTCCAGTTAATTTCTGCCAAACCGCAGTGACAGATTATAATAACTACAAGGCTGCAGGACAGCAAATTTCTTCACAGCAAGACCTTCCCATTCCCTCATTACACAGATGATCCAAGATAGGGCTGCTCAGTCTCTCCTTGTATCTTCCGTGTTTTTTCCCCTCTCCAAAGAGTGTGCTCCGTGGAACACCTGGCAGAGACCTACAAACCATGGAGGTTCATTGCTTGCCTCATCATGTTAATTGCTAGCAGGGGATGGATTTAGTACTGCAGCTGAAAAACAGCAGGAATAATATCTTTTTAAAGTAATTTGCAAATTATTTTATTTTTCTGCAGTAAGGCCAGGCAACTTCCAAGTTTAAGACAGCTGCACTTACAGCATTGGGATAAATTCTACTCTCAGCAAGTGTTTAGCTCCCATTAATGAGTTCTATGTACATACATCAAAAGGACACAGTAGCCCATTACCTGGAATTACAGGAAAATCAATTTCTTTTTCTGAACCAGTGAGCTTTAGTTTGCCAAAAATACATATAAACATAATGGTTACTCAAAGCCAGGCTGGACAAAGCAGTAGGAAAAGGTTTGTAGTAAAAGGCTTGTAAGACCTAGTACTCTATACATATAGAAATCTGCATCAGCCAACACCTCAAAATATCTGCTGATCTCATGATGCCTAACAATTTGCACATAGCACTTCCACCCCTTCCAACAGAACCTGAAACAAATTGCAATGTGTTTGATTGCACAAATTAATGGACCATCATTTGATCAATATATTTTATGCTCTTCCAATTTCCTCAATTCTCTTTAAACAGGTTGGAGACCTGCATTCAGATATTATAACATGTGGGTGTCACTTTTTGGAGCCCTGTTGTGCTGTGGTGTCATGTTTGTCATCAACTGGTGGGCAGCTCTCATCACTTATGCCATTGAGCTTTTTCTATATATTTATGTAACATATAAGAAACCAGGTAAGACCAGAAAACACTATTATTTTGTGTATATGTTATGCAGCCAGACTGGATTTTACAGGAATTAATTCTGCTTTTACAGAATTAGATATTACTTTTTCTCTAATACCTTTCTTTAGAGGGAAGATTGGAGCATCCCATTAAATCCCACTTTACATAATATAGATTAAGATGATAGTCTTCTGATTTTTTGCCTGTTTAACAAGCACTTCAAGTACAGTTGCAGGCTTTGTGTAAACATTTCAGCACACCAGTTTATTCCCACCATGTCTTTACTATATTTGGGGTTTTCCTTGAATATCACTCATATTTTTTTTCCATCCACAAACACAACCTTACCTGAATTTTGCTGTGCTCTTAGCTGACTCATCTGGGATCCTCACTCAAAAAGTAAACCTGCTGCCCATTATACAACAAAAATGCAAGATGAGTTACTCTTGAACTGATCATTCTTCAGCACCTCCCTACAATTCCTCAGTAAATCTAGAAAGATGTGCACACTTTACTGCTGGAAAAAACTCCTTAGTAGCTCAACAAATCATAGGAGCCGGCCTCAGATATCTGTACAGGAATACAATACAGCACCAGTATGAGACTGCACAGGCTGGTTATTCACATCCAGGACAAAACTAACCCAGGTCCAGATTTCAGTAGAAAAAAAATAATACAGATAAGAGAGGCAAGTTTCCCAGCAAAAGATGTGCTTTCATTGGAGCTAGCTTGGAATAGCAACACCTGGTCTGAGCATGTATTATTCTGTTCTGTGTATATTGCTGTGCTGTTGTGTGTCCTCCCTATCTGTGTTCTCATACCTGCTGGGGTGGTCTGTGCTTCTTTTCCAGTAAATATCATCAGCTGTAGGAGATTGCACTTGCTACAAGACAGCTGTCAAGAACATTTGATGATTATAGCAGCCTTCCAGTACTTAAAGGGGGCCTACAGGAAAGATGGGGAAGGATTCTTTATCAGGGAGTGTAGCATTAGAATCATAGGATGAGAGGTAACAGTTTTAAACTGAAAGAGGGGAGATTTAGATTAGATATCAGGAAGAAATTCTTTATTGTGAGGGTGGTGAGACACAGGAACAGGTTGTCCACAGAAGTTGTGGATGCCCCATCCCTGGAGGTGTTCTAGGCCACGTTGGATGGGGTTTTGAGTAACCTGGTCTAGTGGTGAGTGTCCCTGCCCGTGGCAGGGGGGTGGAACTAGACGACGTCTTTTGGGTCCAACCCAAACCATTCTATGATTCTATGATTTCTATCCATTCCTACCCATTGCCAGTGTCCTTGCTGCAAAGTAGCAGCTTAAAGCTTGGTTAAATTCACTGAAAACGCTGTACTAAAAGAATGCTCTCTAAAAGAATTACTTTTGTTTAGCACTTATTTACCAGCAACGGAAGGATTCAGAAAAGACTAATATTCCTTAGAAAAGAAGAGCTCTACACTTACTTGCACCAGGTAGTAGCTTTGTATCGTGGCATATCAGGACTTGAGCAGCATTCATGTAGATCTCAGTGTGGAAAGCTGTTTCCTATCTGTCTGTATCTTTGAAGCATGAGGGAATATACCCACAGATAACATGATTGCTGACCTTTGCAACAGAAAACAGGGAAAAGCCTATGGTTTAACATGCATTATTTGTCTTTGTTATATGCAGACGTAAACTGGGGCTCTTCTACACAGGCTCTTTGCTATATTAATGCCTTAGACAGTGCTCTGGCATTAACTGCAGTGGAAGACCATGTGAAAAATTTCAGGTAAGATTTCCAGTGAACAGTAAAATAGCTTATTCTGAGTAAGTATGTTAGCTAATTAAATACAACTTCTTTTTTCCTTCTAACAGACCCCAGTGCATAGCATTAACAGGAGCTCCTATGATCAGGCCTGCTCTGCTAGACATCACACATACTTTCACAAAGAACAACGGGCTGTGCATCTGTTGTGAAGTGTACACGGTAAGGTCAACTCATATAAACCTGAAAATTCAGCACCAGTGGGTGCTGCAGATCTCCATTACACATTCCACTCTCACTCGGCACACAATGTTCCCATTGGTGGCAGACCATGAGAGAGATTCGCACTGAGAATGAATTTTGTCATAAGTCTTGACAAGAAAGCTATTGGCTGATACAGAGCCTGCTGGTAAATGCCTCATTGAGATGCATTTCAGAGTTCATAGTAGACAGACCAAAAAATGGTTGGAAAAAAATAATGCATTACAAGGAAAGATTTTACTATTTTTTTAAAATGGACACAGCAATGCTTGGGAAAAAAAAACCAAAACCAAAACCAACACCCAAAGTTGAAGGATCATAGTGCGAGAATCAAGTTACTTAGGCTCTATGCTCAGCTTTGTCACTGATTTGCAGTGTGAGGGTTTGGCAAGTAATTCAGCTCTCTTTGCAGTGGTTTCTCCAAAACTATAACAATGCTAATTTGAAGGATAAACACGGTCTTCTGAGATCTAAATAGAGCAAAGTATATTTCTAGTTATAAACACACAGGAAATTATGTATCATAAAGGATGACGATCTAGTCTCTCATTAGGACAGAACAAAAATAGATGGACTTGTAGTGTAGAGGAGAAAATGTATTTTAAATATTAGAATGACATTCTAATTTTGAGAGGCGAAAAAAAAACAGCTCATGGCACCAAATGAGGCTGCATAATCTAACTAATGGAGTCAGTCCAGGCAAGTTAATGTATTCCTCTACAAGAGTATAGGAATAATTCATTTGATGCTGCCACGTTGCAGAAAGGGAGTACAGAAGATCTACGTGTGATTCCTCCCACTTCAAATGAATCTATAAAGAGTGAATGGTCCTAATTCTTCTCTACTCTAATTATTGTTAGCTTTCCCACTGCATCCAGTAAGTGTAGAATCAATCCCAACAAGATCCAGGGACTATGCAGTTTTCTAAAATTGAGTTTCAGCAAGTTTTCTGAATTCTTAGGCATGTTTCTCTAATATTAGTACTTTTTATGGAGGACTGAGACATCATTCCTGTCTATACAGACAACTAAGTCTATTTTGCTAGTGAAAGCATTTTAATTGTTTTTTTTTTTTGTAAATTATTATTTCTTCAGCAATTTAAGCTAAATTTAATTTTGTTGATAATAGAAGTGTAAAAAGTGTGACACAATGAACCTTTGTGATTTGCAAAATTGTGGTAAAAAGTAGATGATAAAATTCCTAGGGACCATATTGAAGAGCAGCCTACAATACATATCATACCAAATACAACAAGATTACTTTGTCATAAACTTAATGCCCAGTTAATTTTGCCTCAAAAGCTGACATGTTGCAGGCTATGCATAGTTGAGAGACACCACGCCAGACAGAATATCTTCCATTCCTTTTTCCCAAAGGGCAGCAAGAAACTTTCCAGGAACGTGGTGATAGATAGTTCAGAAGTATACATACATATGGCAACTAAACATGAAGGCGATTTAAAAGTTATTTGTCTCTGAGGTTGTGCCTGCATGTTGGCTTGAACAGTCTGTTTCTAGTAAAAAAGACTATTCTGTTTTTACTCCCTGCCTTCACATAAAATACTTTAGCAAGGTTAGCCTTCATTCAGTCCACAAATTCACTGGACTACTTGTACAATTGCACGAATGTTAACACTGATACAAAGGAGGAGTAGGGAAGGACACAGGCTGTCATCTGACAGAGGGTGCAACTGTCCCCTTGGCCAGCAGAAACATATTGTGCAAGCCAGTTGTGAAACTATCCTCAGGTACACTCCTTACGGAAACTGGGAAGAAGGGTAAGACTTTTTTTTCCTCCTCTCCTTACCCATACGGGAACCTCAACCTTATTGTTCAACTTACCATTCTTAGCTCTTCACACTACTCTTCCAACAGCCAGGATCAAGCTCTTCTTAAGCTACACCTATTAAAACCAAACAAACTCCAGTAAATTTATTATCATCAAAGAATGTTGCATAATATCATTAAAGAAAGATCACATGGACCCTCCCATCCTTTCCCTTGTACTTCCCAAGTAGCCATAAGAAGTTCAGAAACGTACATGAGGGGTTGAGTGAGCATCAACCCAGCCTACTTTTGGTCAGGTGAAAACTCAATTTTTAGGTATGTAATTCAATGAAAAAGGCACAGATAAAAACATAGAATCACAGAAATTTCATGGTTGGAAGGGACCTTTGAGATCGAGTCCAACCACAAAAGAAAAACAAAAACCTCCAAACAAAAAACCACCCACACCAAAAAAATCCCACAAACAGACACAAACCAACAATCTTGGGCACTAGAGCATGCCCTGAAGTGCCATGTCTACATGTTTCTTAAATACCTCTAGGGATGGCAACTCCACCACCTCCCTGGGCAGGCTGTTCCAGTGCCTGACCACTCTCTCAGTAAAGTAAATCTTCCTAATATCTAATCCTCCCCTGCCGCAATTTTAGACCATTTCCTCTGGTCCTGTGATTATTCACTTGGGAGAAGAGGCCAACACCCACCTCTCTATAACCTCCTTTCAGGTAGTTGTAGAGGGCAATGAGGTCCTCCCTCAGCCTCCTCTTCTCCAAACTAAACACGCCCCATTCCTTCAACCTCTCCTCATATGACTTGATCTTTCACATGATGTGAAATATGCCACATCATTTCATAGCTTCGTTCTCAATGCTGTTTTCTGGTTTTTAGATGGAACTAGCTAGAAAGCTTATTTTGAAAGCCTCTTTTTCTAGCAGCCAATGCCAATTCACTGAAAGTAAATGTATTGCAGCTATTTCTACATGGATATAAATGTGTAGTACATCCTATTTTCTTCCAGGAAGGCAAAAAATAGTTTCAGAAAGGCTGAAAAGTTTTCAAAGAAGGACACTTTGGGCTTACATTCAAAATCACCTTTTAGAAATTGATTCTGAAATAAGTGATCCTTCCCATACATTTCATTTTGGAAAGAATTTCTTGCAGTTCAGGCTTTGCGCTGTTCTTGAATTGGAAATAAATTTTCAGCTTACGGTATTTGCTGAGGACAGAAAAATCTAAAATCTAAATCTCCCTCAGCTCTATTTTAACCAGCTTCCCAGCTTAGCAAAAGAAGCCACCATATACTAACTAACTTTAGATACAAAAGATTTAACTATGAATTTTGAAATTCAGTCCCCTGAGCATGAGTTTACCAAGCTTTCCTAGTTTTATAATACCAGAAACTTCTACTATTTTTCTAGTTATCTGTTCCTTTGGAACCAAAATTGCAACTTGCAACATCCTCAAAAACATTAGAAATCTTAAAAAGCGCAAAGGAGTGAGTTCTGCACAAAATGAAACTCTGCAACAAACTAAAGTTCAAAACTATCTGTTTATAACAAACCAAACTGGTCCCACTGCCTGAGTCAAGCAAACAGAAACACCCACTGGATTCCAAGTGCTCCATCCTTCTGACACATCTAATACCTGCTTCTGTCTCCGATGTTGCTGGACACTCTCCCACCGTTTGCAATTCTGCTCTACTATTCTGCCTTGGACAGCAAAGACCACCTGTCCAGCCCAATAACGCTAAACCGGTATCTGAGACTCTTGAGCGTCTGTCTCAGAGTTTCATTGTCACTGCAGAAGATCCGATTCAGTTTCCTAAACACAACATGAAAGGGAATAAACAAAGCCTAGCAAAACTTAAACTCAAATTTAAGAGCACAGATTTTTTTAAAACACAATTAAATTCCAGACACATGCTTCCCAACTTATCTCAATCTTTCTAAAGGCCACACTTGCAAGCTTGCATGCTCAGGCCCTGGGCCTAATGTTTTGGGGACCCACTGCCAGCCCATTCTCTGCTGCCAAGTCAGTGTATCATGTCTTATGACTTGGATATGCACACGGATTTTGTCTCATTAAATTACCAGATGACCACTGGAAGAACCTGGTAACAAAAGCATTTACATCTTCAATTGCATGGCAACAACGCTTTTCTCTTACTATTCGTAGATAGGAGCTTAACCATGTATATTTAGATCTGCTGAGACTTGTTTCCGTAGTCAAGTCAGGGAGGAACTTTATTCACTCTGAGATGCTTCATCATACCTTAGATATTTTTCTAAGATGTTACAATCCATATTAGTCTTTCTTTCTGTCAGAATCACTATATTTAAGTAGCATTAACAGCCTCAGCCCTCTTGAACAGAATGTGAATTATGTTAGCAGCACAGTTCTTTTCAAAGGGCTGAATCTCTGTGGACCCTTTTTGGAAATGTATTTTTCTGACTCTCTCCATTCACTCCCACAGCAGCCTAGGTAACTCCTTCAAAATCACTGTGTGATGTACAATACAAAGCCTTCTTAATAATATTTTATTGTATCATGCAGGGACCACGCAAGCTGTGTGTTAAGGAGATGAACAGTGGCATGGCAAATAAGCAGGCCTGGCTCACAAAGAACAAAAGAAAAGCCTTTTACGCAGCAGTGGCAGCTGACAGCTTCAGAGACGGAGTCAAAAGTCTGCTTCAGGTAAGCTTTTCGTTTACAGAACACAGAATACTGTTACATCAAAGCATCCCTTTATGTTAAGCATTACTGTTTACTTGTTAAGAAGTCATATATATATGTATATATATGGATAATGTTGTAAGCAGAAAGGGCATTCTGGATGTACATGTGTTTTTATTACAGGTTATTTCATAAAGAGATCTAGTTCTGGGCTATGGAATTATGAGACAAGGCAGACTGATTGTCTCATAAATGAACAAGACGCTATTATAAAAAAAAAGAGAGGCATCTACTGGGCAACATACAAACGTCTATGCAGCCAACACTTAATGTACTTCAATTCTATTGCTTGGTATTCTGCAGCATATTAAATATCTGAGAATATTTTTGCATTAATTGAAAACTGAAAATGTGTAATATACGTTTTCTGCAACAGAGAGAAGGCCATCTAAATAAAAGTCTGCGATATTTTTCTATTCCTCTAAGAATATAGCAGACCATTTTCAACAGTCCATTTAAAATGGCCTTAATAAAGGTACAGAGGCACTGTTTTCATATTTCCCATCTGCCTCTCTCACATATATGAATATTTAAACATACAGGTACTGAGGCAAAATGTAGAGGAAATTCCCATCCTTTGCACAAAATACACGGCTGAAAAGCCATCAGTGCAAACTGAGACAGTAGGGAATTGACTAAAATACTCTGGGTAACAGTCACCCACTGGTGGGCTACCAGTGCTCTTTGTACACTCGGTGAATGGACAGTACCATTGAGCAAGATGAAATATTACTAATAAAGATCGTCAAAGCCTCACAAGGATACTTCATCTTGGGTTTATATATTGTTGCAGTAGGAGATCGCTTTGATGTTTTTGAGAACTGTTGCAGTCTGATGATCCTTTCCATTACTGCTTAAACACTACTGCCAAAGTTAACTACTGGATCACAAATAATTCCCTTCCAGCAAACAGAAGGATAACCATATCATCATTATTGTAACCTAAGGACATCTACGTTGCTTGGCCAACCAGTTATTCACTTCAATGTAAATAATGCAGATGTATCAATACTACTCAAAAAACCTCATGAAGGTTTCAACAGTTTTATCTATTGTCTTTTTGTTAGTAGTAAAAATTGGCAAGTGTAACAGCTTGACAAGCTGGTGCATTTTGTGGGTCTCTTCTCCTGAAGGTTTCAAAGACATTGAGTATTTAGAATTCTATAAAAATTAGGTAAGCTGAATCTAGATCCGACAAGCCTTACTTGTCTGGGTTTTATCATCGAGGCTCAGTTACACGGGCAATCTAATATCTCAACAAACCATTTGTTCTTCCTGTTTATGAACTGTAATTTATCTATAAAGCATGCTCAGATAATTTTGGATAATCTTTTGGAAAGAATACAGCAAACAGAACAGCAACAGTTTCTAAGTTCAAGGCAAAAAATTTATTCTTAAGAGGATATGCCTTCTCTGCATATGTGAGGTGTTTTAAGAGACTTCAGACCCAGTTAATCTATTGAGTATTCCAAATCTGATAAAAGCTTTATGCTATTATGTTAGAATGAGCATATAAACAGTGCTTGAACTCTCTCTTGATTCCAAGTTATTGAACCATTTTAATGAGAGCATGTCAGAAGAAATGCAAATGAATGCTAATTTAGCAAAACTACATTTCTGTCATCTAAAATCATTTATAGTTGGAATGATTTAGAGCTAATCTTTCTGCTTTCTGCATGGGTATGAGCATGAAGGACATTCATGAAATGCAATCTAGTTGTAAATGTCTTCAGAACATTACTTCAGTTATCTTTTGCCATTACTTTTCATTTACAGTAAAAGTATGCGTGTGTACCTTCTCAAGCAGTCTTTTAATATTGTTAGGCCTCAGGCTTGGGTAGAATGAAACCAAATACCTTGGTGATTGGATTTAAGAAGGACTGGAGAAATGCCACTGCCACGCAAGTTGAAAACTACGTGGGCGTTATACAGTAAGTCACAGTTCAGCAACTCCTTTTTTCACTCCTCTTAGACTAGATTAATATAGCATTTCCATACAGGATTTGATGCATAGAAACAATGTAAGAAAACACTTACAAATTTGACTTCGCACATGTTAACTCTGTTAACAGAAGTTTCTGCCCACTAAAAAAGGCTCCTTGGCTTCACACACCTAGCAAGATCTGCTTAGCAAACATCTGGTGCTGCCAGAGCTGATACGGCTTGACAATGCAGCACAAAGAAGCTGCACTGCTGTCAGCAGTGCTTTTGCAGGACTGTATTTTCCCATTTTTAGTGGGCAGGAGCTCAGAGAAAAACAACCCTAATGTACATACTTAGGGAATAAGAGTACATCATGGAATTCTTCTTTTAAGCCTAGGGGACAGAGGAAGAGCCTTGCTTCAAATCTCATGTGTGCCTAAGGCTCAGAAGCTCTGTGGATTGGGATTTAGCTAGGAAACAGTCATTTAGAAACTGGCTTCTCAGATTCTTGCTGAAAATTCACTTCTAAAACTGAAGCGAGTTAAAGAACAACAAAACCCACCCCAGCTTTGTTTTTTCCTCAGAGAAGGGAGAAAAAAAGTTTACAACGGCAACCTAGTTCCTAAAAAGTGTTGTCAGAAAGACCCATTTCAGGAATAGCCTATCTGTTCCCATGCCCAATAATACCCTTTTTTTCAAATGAAGGAAGAATGTTTATAGAACTTTACTTAATCTTGGGCAATTCCTTCCGAAATTCCACCTAAAGCAGCCTCTACATGGCAGTAATACCTCCCTCTGAGCACTAACACTTCTACTGATCTGCTCAAAGTAGTTTTTCTCATTGACATGCATGATGTGAAAGGGTTGGGGTTTTTTTCTCTCTTTTCAGTGATGCTTTTGATTTTGAGCTCGGCATGATTATCGTCAGAATTAGCCAAGGATTTGATATATCTCAGGTTCTCCAGGTTCAAGGTATGTGGTGACCCAACAGCTACTATCTATGCTGGTTACATACTCAGCACAAGAAGGAATCTGACCGATAGCGTTAGGGTCACCTTGTGTTTTCTAGAATAGTTCCCACACCCGTAACTTGTACAGTTCCTTCTTGCTTCTGCAGTTTCAATCCTGCCCAAAATCCTTGCTGAAGCACTGGCAGTGACAGAAGGAGGCCAAGCCTCACACGTTAAGGGGCTCTGCACACCAGAGAACTCTACTCCCGGAGCACTGCCAGCACAGGCACAGGCTAAAGCAGTAAAATCATGTTGTGCCACACCAACCAGTCACTCTGTGCCATGTTTCTTTCCTGCTGTTGGCACACCTTCTTCCCTCTGCCTACCTGAGATCTCTGGGACTTGCGGGAATCAGGAAGCTGCACTTTTGTCACCACCTCCGTGGGGTCCTGGAGGTTCCCACCCCATGCAAAAAATCTGGAACCCATAAGAAACACCAGTTCTCTTTTTCACCTTTTTGTTCATTCTTCCTTAGGTTAGCTGTGCGTATCTCAGGGGGAAAGAAAAAAATCTTTCCACCACACCTTCAGGGAGACACACCACCTGGGTGGAAAAGGCAGAGGGGGACAGAGCAGCAGGCAGCTGCATTTAATGAAGGGCTTCCAAGGGCCACATACAATGGTGGCCTTCATTCCTCCTTTTCATTTTTAGGACACAGAGGTCTTCCTGGTTCCTCAGGTACCCTGAGGAAGGAATGACTCCATATAAAAACCCCATCAGGACAATTCTCTAGGTTTTCAGTGCAATAATTTTCCCACTTCTTGTAAATTGTCCACTTGAGCAGAGAGCTACAGCCTAAACCGGAACATTACTCCTAGTGTCCCTTGTCCTCCCCACTAGAGAAATCTTTTGTGTTATAAATGAATTAGATAAAATCTATGGACAAGGAAATAGGCAGGCATAAAAAGAACGGCGACTCTCTGCTGCCGCCTGCTGTCAGTCTGCCTCCAGCGTCTCCCCAGGATCCCGGAGACACACAGACCAGGCTCAGGACTGCTGGGGAGAACACCCAGGAAGGACATAAGTACCTTAGCTAATTAAAACCAAAATTAACTCCCCATTAAAGACGATGAATTCTAGGATGAGGCAGCCCTCAAAAGCAAATCACCTCTCAGAATTAAAAGGCACCAGAGACTCCTTTAAGAAACGAGGGTAGATGAATATTCACCCAGCAGACTCTGGCAGCTTGACGTGCGTGGAGAGCTACAGGGCAAAATTATGGGGAGTTAAGAAAAAAATTCCAAACTAATCATGCTTTTTTTCCTCCCTCTTGCTGGTAAGTAAAAGAATCTGCCTTTCTCTTTGCTTGCTCTAAGTCAGAAACTGACTGCTCAGAGGATATAGTCATTAGAACACTAGTGAAATTACAACAAATACCACCTTTGCATTCTTACAAACTAGCAAATATTCTCTAAGTGTTAAGATTCAAGGAATGAGAAAGAATTAGGAACATGGGGAAAAAAAAACCACAAAGGAAAACCCTCAAATGTGCAGAGATGTTTTGAAGCAGATATGAACTCTCTGTAAAAAAGATCGTATTGTTATTCTTGCTACAGCATTCTGCTTAATAGAAGAACTGAAATTTTAGTTTTGAGTAACCATTTAGTTAGTGACCAAGTTAGTGATTTTCATAATGTCTAATAATCAGAAGCACATGGCTGTCATGGATTCTAAAGTAAAAGAAATTATTTTTTTTTCTGCTGGAAATTGAGAGTGCCAACAGAGCACTGACTAGTGAAGGTTTGGGATTGTTTGGTTTTGGATTTTTTTTGTTTGTTTTGGCTTTTTTAAAAACGCAATGTCTTAAATGAATTTACCTCACTCTTAGTCCATGTATTACTCAAATAGAAGTTTTTCTTATGAAAAAAGCTTTCTGCAGGCAAATGCTTCTATTAATTACTGCCTGACCATAATATATATTCCACAATAACACATGGTACCTTTTTCTAAGCAAGTCTAGTATTACTGAGATGAAGCTGTTCTTTTATATTACTGAATTTACAGAATGTTAGCTAAATCTTAGATTTTCACAGCAAATGCTGAAAAAAGAAAACTAACATTAAAAATATTGCAGCATAGAAACTGATCACATATTCAGGATTTTTTACATATTTCTGAGAATCTCAAAGTCCGAAGCCATGTGACATGTGACCTTGTTCTTAGAACAGGGACCCAAGGGCTAGAACTCAATACATCAGCTTTCTCACCTAAGGAAAACAGCTTTCCTAATGTGTTTTCAAATTCTTAGGGAAAAAAAGCAACCAAACAAATCCACAATCATAACTCAATAAACAGTATCTTGTGTAACTATAAAATACAGTAATTCTAATTTGATCTGGAAGTCTGAGAGCAGTGCAATAAAGAGCACTTTAGTACACACAACTGCTGTAGGCGTGGGCACCCTAAGTTAGGGCTTCCAGAGATGAATTCAGCTTCCTCCTCCCTACTGCCTTGCAAGGAAAAAGCATTTTAAAATGAGTTTTTCCTCCCAGCAGCTTTACATTGTGTACAAATTACCACAACAGCAATTACATCACCGCCATTATTTCAGCCAGTGATTTAGTTTAAAAAATTGTGTTACCAGTTCCCTTACTTTTCCCAATATACAGAGGAATTAGAGAAGCTGGAGCAGGAGAGATTGGCGCTGGAAGCTACCATTAAAGAAAATGATTTTGAAGAAGGAAAAAGTGGCATCTGTGGATTCTTCAGAAAAGCCAACATGCTCAATATCTCAAAACACGAAACAAAAAAGGGTAAGTTCCAGAATGACAAGTTCTCCCTGACCCTTCAATACATCACATTTTCACCAATATGCAAACTGGACTTTGACTCCAAACCCAAAACTCCTGAGCCACATAGAAGCCCCTGGAACAGGACCTACCCGGAGCAAACCTGTCTTGGTGGCCACAACCACATAATGCAGAATAGAGTGACTGTCCTCTACTGGTCGGACACGCTACCTCATACAACACAACTATTTTCATTTGCTAGATGAGCTTCTCAGCTCAGTTTACGTTGAATTCTATTTGTCAAAAATAGTATGTAGTTATTAAAATTTGAGGAATACAGAACAACTTGATTTTTGTTTTGTTGTTTTTTTTAATAAGGTGTTTTCAGTTTTTAAACAAAGGCCTTTTTTCCCCTCTCTTTAATGAAAACAGGAACATATGCACAATATTCAGGGAACAATCTCACTTTACTCAACATATGCACATGCACCCCCAGTACCCAGCTGAAAAATAGGTAAAAATAGCACTACTGCTCTATATTCTAAGCATAATTTCATTAAAATGTACAAATGAAGGTAGTGAAAGTACTGAAAGTACATATACAGCAAGCTGTCAAATAACTAATTAACGCATAAATGTATAGGTGATGAAATTAAAATTACATTTCAGATACAGCAAAATGATACAGAGAGACAATTAAAGGTCTCATTTCACAATTGCTAGGCTCTAATGATAATGACCCACCTGAAGCCATGCTTGTATGCAGACAAGTATTTTCAGAATTTTCACCTGCAGAGACTATTACATCTGGCTGTGCATGCAACTCCCACAGGTATCAAGAAGATCTACAGACTGAAAACATAAAATGTCATTATTCTTTACTTGGCAGACTTCAGTTCATTTTGCAGGCTTCAGTAGAATATATTTTTATAACAAATACCACAAGAATGTGAACTCCTGTTTCAACTACCCTTTTCGATTTAGTTCAGAAAGGCATAAAGGAAATATATATTACACACTTTGGCTCTATATATGAGATAGATGATGTTAATAAATATCCTTGCCTCTCCATTTTGCTTATACATTCGTCCTCCCCAGAGTTGTTGCATCATCCAGCATAGATGCTAGAGCTGTAAAGGAAAGCAAATAACTGCTTTAGAACTATCTTCTCTACACTCTAGAAATACAGGAAAACCAAACAAAGCATTTTCAGAACCTAGCAGATCAGAGCAAAAGCTCTAAAGAAGCCTGTCTGCTCCATTTAAAATACTGCTCTGACACCGTCTCTTTGAAATCATTGAAAGGGAAGCAGTAATAAAGCCACAGGCTTCAAAAGATGGAATAAGAGAAGATATTGTTAGTACATAGGCAAGACAGTGCTTTTTAAAGCCAGCCAAGCAAACAGCAAGAATAAAAGTCTATTTTCAATTAACGAGGACCCTCTCAAGCATAGGAAAGTTGCCATATATGCTTATGTTTTCTGCCTTCCGGTCTTAGCTTCACCCGTGCTCTCACTGAACCCCATTAGCTGTCTTTGTCCACCATTACACTGTGCATTTCAGGGAGCTTTGTATTCTACAACAGACAGCTCAGCTTGCAAATGATGCAAAATGATGCACTTTACTACTAAAATCTATCAGATATTCCTCAATTGTGTTTTAAGGCCCTATTGAGTTTTAAATTAACTAAAAAGATCCAGAGAACAAATAATCAGTAACCCTTTTCAAGAGGTTATAATCTAGTGACAAAGTATTGCACAAGCTTTGGTTTCTGTATGTTTTGGCATATTAGAAGTCCATAGCATCTGCGCCACAAGTTTTTTCAGATTTAAAGTATAGAAATTATGTCAGAGACAGTTCATTTTCCTGAAGCTTTCTCTCCACTTGGCTCCCTAAAGATACTCATTGCCTCACTCACCAGAAATCCTTCCACATTTTTTTCTTTCTCATTACAGAGAGTACCATTAACACAATCCAGTCGATGCATGTGGGTGAATTCAATCAGAAGCTGCTAGAAGCCAGCACCCAATTTAAAAAGAAGCAAGGAAAAGGTACAATTGACATTTGGTGGCTGTTCGATGATGGAGGTAAGGAATTAGAGTAAGAGAGAGATTTCTGTGTTACCAAATGTAAAACCAGACTTGGGAACCTGCATAAAACTGTTTTCTTTTAAGATTACATAGTCAATTTTCTGTCTGGCTTAAACGTTTTAAGACTAACTTCCATCCAAAACTGCCGAAGTGAAGGATGGAATTTTTACCACACAATGCACTAATTTGATCTTCCTGCAATTTTATATGTTCTTCCAGGTCTAACAATCCTAATTCCTTACATTCTAACTATCAGGAAGAAGTGGAAAAATTGCAAGTTAAGGATCTTCACTGGAGGAAAAGTCAATAGGATTGAAGAAGAAAAACTAGCGTAAATATTTGTGTCTCTGTTTAAAGACTTTGAACTGATGTTAAATATAATGCATATACAGCAGGAAGCTGGGAATTTCTCAGCACAACTGGTGTGTTGTACTGTGGGCAGCATGAAAAAAATTATATACTTGATAGAAAAGTGTTGAGCTGATGGCATAGCCCTCAAGGCTCAATATAAATGGTGATTACCAAAGGAAATTCACATCCAGCGATTTTTGCCATTAATAGCCCATATTCCCTTCTCTAAGAAGAGCAGTCTGCACTCCGTAATGAGAATATAATTAGTTTTATGGGATTTACATGAGATTGTCCAGTTAACAGTAAGTGAAATTGCACATGAAGCTTCTCATACGCAAATACCATAGACAGATAGCTCACATAAATGTGATTAACCGTGGTAAAATGTAAGGACATTAAAAAGCAAGTTAATCAACTTTAAGACCAAGTTGATTTGACTTAGCTTTTTTAAAAAAGTCTAGATTTCATAATCATCATTCACCTTCAAGCAAATGAAAGGTACTAATACACACTTACTTCCATCATCACTGTATATGGGACCTTTCCTTCCAGCACTTTACACACCAGAGGCAGAGCCATTTCACATCTGGTGGAAGCAGTCCAACTTGCGATGGAAGTCAGTAACAAAGAGGTACAGGGTATCTTATCAAAGGGCAGCAGCCCCCTGTAGCGAGTTAAAATCAACATGTCCAACCAAAACTCCATTGGAAAACAAGTGAGATGGATGCAAAGATAGGAGTTAGAATTTAGCCAGCCTTGGAAAGATAGCTGCCACATGGATGCTCCTTTATGCTTTTGCTTTCACATAAAGCAAGCTTTATTCTGCTGTTGTTTTGTCAGTTGTAAGGATTACCTTGAAGTTAACATACTTCTGTAGAAGAGATTCACGTGCTTGTACAAACTGCTGTTATCATTGGGTAAAAAAAGCTTTACAGCTGCTCAAGGACCTGCTCCCTGTCCAGAGTCTGCCCAAGCTTGGCTGCTCAGGACTGCAACTGGCTCCTGGATCTAGGCACTCAGGTCACCAAATTTTGTTGAGAGGAAGTAGGAGGCTTTGACATCAAATGGGATTTGTCAAAACACGTCAGACCTTCAGAGGCAGTTCTGGCACCTGTATATACTGCTCATCCTACAAAAGCCAGAGTGAACAGCATGGTCAGTACAGTTGGCAATGACCTAGTTTGCCTCCAATAAAAGAGTAAGTGTATACACTTCTACCTAAACACTAGCTTTCCTCAACAGCATATTCTACCCATGACACACAGAGGCCTTCAGAGAGACAAATCTGGAGGCTGGGTGGCTATTTACCATTTCATCCATTGTATTTCCAATTCAGAAATTAAATTTATCTGGACTTTTGCTAGTATGCAATTCCCATATACTAAAACCTTTCCACAGAAGTTGAGACTTTGCCCTTTTTGGTGTTCAAAACACAGATTGCCCCAGGGCACATCAAGATTTATATAAGCAATATGTTGTTCTTATATAAAAAAAAGAACAAGTAAATTCTCAGGTCATAAGCAAATATGTATTTCTATCATGGTTTGCTCCTAGGAACTTTCTGACCTTTTCAAATTACAAAGGTGGGAGTTGGGGGGGGGAAGAGAGGGGAGGAGAAGATACACATTCCCAACCATTCTTCTACCAAAGGCAAAACTGACCTAACTAAATCCCTCTAACCTCAGTACAAACACACAAAGCTATAAAATATTCCTCCTCCCAATTGGGGCAGAAAGGCAAAACATTTTGTTTTATGAATATATGTAAAGACAACATGCAAGTAGATTAATATAAATTCATTAATGAAAAAGTTTCTTTAAATATTGCACATCAACTTTCCAGACTAAATTTTCACCAACATATACACTAGCAGTGTTACCCGTACTCCATGCATAGAATTCTGGTAACAACAGAATAACAGAAGCCTTCTCTAAGTATTGAAGAATTCTGTCCTACTGTATTTTGAATATTTTTCTTTTATAATTCAAGCCTTTGCAACTACTTAAAGTATCATTTGTTCCCAAAATGTAAACACCCTCCCGTCTGCTATTCATTTCCATTTTTCTTGATTTTCATTGATCATCAGTTAAATGAATTATACTACAGCAATAACATCAATCAAGTGCTGTAATTGGAAACTGAAACACTAAAGCATTTAAAGTAATTTGTCATATAGTTAAAGATAACGAGACAACTGCATTTTATATCTTAACTCATTTATGAGTGCTCTTTGATGCAAAGCACTCAGAAATACAGTGATAAAATATTCTCTTCTTTGTTTTCAGGATGGCTTCACTTCTAAGCAAATTCAGAATAAAATTTGCTGATATTAATATCATTTGTGATATCAATGTAAAGCCCAGCAAAGAGAGGTAAGAAACATTACCAAAATCCATTCTTCAGCAGTCGGACTTTATCAGGAGCTTGCTTCTTTTATGCTGAGCATTAAAAAAACCCAAAACACACCACAAAGAATAACACTGTCACTCAATTGCAATCATTTTCTAAGTACCTAGAGCAGGAAAAAGAAAAGAACCTTTTAACAATCACAACTCAAGGGGTAAGAACTATAGGCAGCCTTTTTCTTTATGTTGTAATGATAAGACTTAATTTTAATAAAGCCTAATTAGACACCACACTTATGAGCCAGTAAATTTAACAGGCATTTTCTGATGGCTTTTAATATCTATTTAGGTTGCAACAGACTTTCCTTCATCATATTATTCAGTCAGTGACAGTTCTCTTGTAAAATCACCATCTCTGCCTTCTGGGTTTTATCATGAATTCATAAACTTAACATTTTTCTGGCCAAACATAAGTATACTTCTCCTTTCCCATGAGGACAATATTATAATACTCCCCTATCACTCAAATATAATGAAGGTTCAATGTTTTTAAAAATTAACTTATCTAAAGAATTTATGTTCCTAGGCAGAGGTTAGGAAGTTGGTAAAACAGTGCTCAGCAAGCTCCACCTCCAACTGTATTAGCTAAAAAGAAAAATAAATCTTCAAGTCCTTACTTTCTAAAAAATATCTCTATAGAAATCACCTATTTCTTCTACTTTATGTAGACAAAAGTATATTACAGGTTGCTCAGGAAATAACTGATTTGCAACTCAATTCACAGCATTGCTCTTGGTCTTAAAGATACTCTGAAAATGTTCTCACCTTGCTATGGTATCTTCCATCCCATCTTTTACTTCCCTCTTAAGAGGTCCATAGCTGTTTCATAGGCAAAGGGCTCCTCTCCTCCACTCAAAACTTTTCCTCTGAGTTCAAGTGCAGTCTCGGGTTAGTCTTTTAATCCTTCTGTGTCCCATTTCTACACACACCGATAACTTTGCAGAAACAGTATTAGATTCACCAGTGTTTCCAGAGTGCATTGGAGATTTTGACTTAGGAAATGCAATTTAAAAATATAAAGATTTTATTACTAGATACCTCAAGTCACTTATTAGTGCTGTCTTGATTGCTCAGTTAATATTTTTTAATTATATACAGAACTGTGCAAAATACTTTTTTCTTGTACTATGCAGTGATTTTACGTTGTTTTAAAAAAGCTATTAAAAAGAATACATATCTGCTGTTAACATAGAAACCAGAGATATTGGCTACATCAGCAGTATCTGAACAGAACACTTGCCAGACTGTTGCTAGTCCACTGTATCTCTCTCCCAGCTAGCATCCCATTTACTTCACTAATAAGAGGATTATCATTACTTTGCATACTGAAACAGACACTAAGGATTTTGACAAACTCTCTGGCAACTTTGCAACAGCAACATTAAGTGTCATATGCCTTTAACCCAGCTCTTGACTTCCTGCTCTGTAGCAAAGTCCAACCTGTGCCCAGCCTCCCGTTTCACTTCACAGTGAGGCCTGTCAGCATAAGGTGCTCATAGAAATACACCTATGTTAATATAAAAGAAATGCCCTGAGGTCTCTGTGGGATGACAGAAACTTTCAACAAAGGGGCAAGTAGGGAAGTACAGAAGGGTGATAAAATTCTCCAAATTACAACAGTCAAAAACTTCAAGAAATTGAAATTTAGAGAGAAAATCTGTGGAAAAGTTGGGAAACGAACACAAATCTGAGCCCCCATACAGCATTTCCTTCAGCCCCTTGCCGAGATTTATATCACCCATTTCTCCATTCCGTTAAAACTGTAAAACTGTACCAGTCAGGCAACTGCTCCAGCTAATGCTAAAGCAATAATTAAAGCTCAGTATTTTTAAGGAAACCCATATTAATTGTTAACATTAGTAACCGATATAGTGCAGCTTGAAGTTACTGTAGAACTCATTTCAGTATTCTTGCTACAACTAGGAAAAATATAGAAAATTCTCTGCAACTATAAATAGGTCAAATGCAGTGTTTAATTATCCTCAAATAACCTTTTAATTATCCTCAAATAACCCCAAGCAGCCAAGCCATAACTTGGAGACCAACATAGCAAAGAATAGTTAGCAATTTTGCTATTTTTTAGCTACAGTTACAGTCAGTGGTGCCGGCCATACACAGTGTGTGTATGTTAGTGAGTTCATACCCTACAGCAAGGCCTCCTTTGTAACTCCCGTTTCAGCTGGAAATTCTTTGAAGAGATGATTGAACCATATCGCCTCCATGAAAGCTGCAAAGATATAACAACTGCTGAGAAATTAAAGCGAGAGACTCCATGGAAAATTACAGATGCAGAGCTGGAAGCATTCAAGGAGAAGGTAAAGCCCTGCCTACCTTTTTACATCTTCACCTTTTCTTACACTCCAGAAGTTTGAAGCGATTAGTAAGAAAATGTGAAATACCAGATACGGAATTAGAAACATGGCATGTACATACCTGCATTTGATATTTACCAATTGGATTTATACTGTAAACATGGGAGAGGTGTGTTATGATTGCATTATTCAGCGCTCTGTAAGACCTTGGCATGTTTACACAGTATTTTCCAGGCTGACGAGAAGCTCTGCCCACATCAGAGCCAGCCAGATGAAAACCACCTCTGAACCAGAAGCCACACAGTACCATGCTGAGGCCAAGCTAATAAGATCTGTTGAGAGGTTTATTAAATGGCTCCACTGTTTTAGAGATTGAACCTCTTAGAGAGTGTAGTTCCAAACATTCACCACTTTGGGAAATTTGGAATTGAATCCAGACCCTCTAACTGGCTTTAGGAATTTTTCCAAGGGCAAGATTTAACACAGATTCTGACCTCAATGGCAGAGGAAAAACTAAACCTGCCTACCACACAGGAGCTCTCCCACAGTTCAGAGGCACTCTAAGGCTGATGTTGCCTGATCCACTGAGTGAATTAGAGCCCAGGCTGCTCTTTAATTTTGTTGGAACTTACCTTTTTAGCAATGAACCGCCAGGCTTCATCAGGCCAGTGCCGAAAGCATACTGCAACCTCTTCTACCCCTGAGAGACAAGTTCTCCTCTAACTGACAGAGAATTAATCTAGCAATTTTATTTATGGTTCCTGTTGGATTAACCTGAGTGCACTGAGAGTTTAGTTATCTCCACTTTATGGTGCTAGTAACTTCCTCAATGGAGCAAGGATTGTGAGTCTGAGCTCAAAGCCACTAGAGGTCACAGCCTGACATTAACATAAGCTGAAATCAATGGTGATTTAAGATAACACACTACACTACTGACTGCAGCAGCTTGGAAGCAGACTGACTGCTCGCTGTATTACCCTTTTCATAGATTTGATAACCAGCATAAAGTTATGGTAGCCAGCTGTGGGCAGAAAACTTTGGAAGTACTCTCAGCATAAATCATCAAAACTTGGGAGTCAGAGCCCTTAGAACATCCCAGTATAAAAAACAATGGGAACATAATCCCACAGATATACACACTTGTGTGCCGAACCAGTGACGATACAACAGGAAAGAAATTCACGATTAATCTTGGTCTTGTGTAGGTCACTAACTAAGGAACCATGAAAAAAAACATAGGCTGAAAACAACCAGCAATATGAAAACGCCAAATCTCTCTACAAAATAAGAACAGCAACAAAAAGTTTAGCTTACACACCCGGAAATACATGCCCCTTATCTTCAGAAGTAAGGCAGTTCTGGGAATTTTATGGAGGACATTAGAACACATTTAAAATTCAAGAGAGAAAAACTTGGCAGCACAGATAAAGGGTGATGTTATAGGATGACTCTCATGAGATAACAACTGGCTAAATTATGAGGATTCTTACCTATATAACGTGTAAAAGAACAGTGATGTTTCTGTAGAGAAGGAAAATTTAAGGTCTGAATGGAGAAAAACCATCTTTTTACTTTCTCCAGGGAAACGAGAATAAAATTTGTAGGACCAGTTAAGATAGATGTATCTCCCATGCTGCAATCTCCCTCCTACACAAAACTGCCCCGGTCTCTTGTTCCCTATGACTTGCATTAAGTTATAAACACTTTGGGGGCCTGAGCCTGACCATGAAGTAATCTTGGCTGAATTTCAAAGTAACAGCCACTTACACAATTTGCAGAAGTCCATAGAAATAAACAATACATAAAGTGGCTAAGTCTTACTCCAGACTCCTGGTCTTTTGTTTAAGAGGTGAGTTTCTGTCCAGGTTCTCACGCACTGACATTTACCCCTACCAGCATGGCAGCTGGACACTTAGAAAACAGATGAATTAATATATTAACCACTATCAAACTATAGCACAAAAGAGTCTCTGCACAGTTCCTATACTCCATAGACAAAGAAATACTTAAAAACTATGTCTGAGCTAGCTCTGGTAATGTGTCAGTACAAAACTAATCCCCATCTCCAGGAAATCTTATACAGTGGTGAACAACTGTGGCCCCTACATAACTCTACTAATCGAGAAGCATGGGTTAGCCTTGTGTTTTGCCATCTCTACCACTCCAGACCACAGAGCAGAGCCAGCTTTCAGTGCTGCCAGAGCAACTGCAGAAAATCTTGCAGGCAATGGGTAGTGTAGAAGTCCCTGAGGCACCAGAACTGAGGATCACTGACCTAACTTTTTTTCTTTTCCCCTGTTTTGTTTTAATCAGAGCTACCGCCAAGTCCGTCTGAATGAACTGTTACAAGAGCATTCGAGGGCTGCTAACCTCATTGTCCTGTGAGTTACAAGATTTTAGTTCTAACTCAGAGAATAATCTAATATGTAAATGGACTAGAGCAACAGAAATGCTTGTATTAATTCATTGAGGGCAAAAATAATTTTTAAAGTACCTTTTGAAGGACTTGCATCTGAACTGATGGTTCTGGGAGTACACTGAATATGAGTCTTTCCTAGTAATTCTTTGTAGCTTACAAAGCTCTACTCATGAAAATCTGTAAAAAATGTAATCTTCACATCCAACTCTACACAGTGAGTGTCACATCTTCTTACTCATCTGCAGAAAATACACATTGTTCTTTCTTTTCCCCCAACAACTGAAAGTTAGAGAAAGGATTCTTTTGGTTTGCACACAATAAATAGAATTATTTGCCAAGATCTACTTGGAACTATGTGAAACTGAAAAAGGATAATGCAATTGCATAAAAAAGGAGGCCACCAATAAAATTACAAAAAAAACCCAACAAACAACCAAGCAGCAGCCATTTTCAAAATCAACTTTTAGTTAGAGCAGATAAACCTCTTTAGCTCTATTAATTCAGTCTCCAAAAAGGGGTGATCAGGTAGTGTTTACCATAAATTTACCCATAATTTAAAACTCTCATTTCACAGTAATTACAGATCAGAACATAAGTTGATGGATGGCAAAACTGTGCATGTACTGTACTTTTATCCTTTTAAAAAAATCATATTATGTGTGGGGTTTATGGCAACAAAAATGCTTCTTTACCAGTTTAAGGTTACAATCATGGGCAGTGCAAGCCCAGTACAACTAGCCATGTTAACGGCACTTACCAGGTAAACAAGAGTTTGCAAGATTAAGGCCTAATATTAGCCTTAATCTTTATAATCTTTTAAAGATTATAAAGCTTTGTGCATTATAAGATTAAAACAATCATGTTGTCTAATTACAAACAGAGTTGTATATGAACACTTGATGTTTTCCACTTAATATTTAGTGAGATGCACGTTATCAGGGTTACCCCTGTCTTCATAATGTTAATTTTATTTTTTCTCTCTGTCTAAACAGGAGCCTCCCAGTGGCAAGAAAAGGAGTAGTGTCTGATTACCTGTATATGGCCTGGCTAGAAATTCTCTCCAAGAACCTTCCTCCAGTCTTAATGGTCAGGGGCAACCACAAAAATGTACTGACTTTCTATTCGTAGAAAGACATTAGTGCCTAGAATATCCCTTGCTTTCTTTCAACACCTATGTTTTTAATCGCAGTGATTTATTAAAGATGCACTTATCTAATACAGATCAAAACCTTAGTAATTGACAGAAAATTTTTAAAAAATCCAAAGCAACACAGTGAAGAATTAGAGAAAAAATGTAAATGGTCCCTGCTGGTGTTACACTCCAGTACAGGCAAAAGAAGGAAAATCTACCTATCTATATATATATCACATAAGACAGCAAATATTTTGAACACACAAATAAGAAATTCCACTAATTTTATAAGGTATCAAATACGCTTTTGGTATTTATCCTAGAAAGGCAAAATTAACTGCTACAATACAAAAAGCACTAAATCTATAAGTAAATGCTTCTTTCAAATCGCACTGTCATAGCTGCTAATAGACACATGGGAGGATTACAATCAAATGCACCAACTTGGGAGAGAGAAAAAAACCTGTGCAGTATCCATCGTGTCAAAGTCATAAACTGATATAATGCAAGTAGGATACCTGTGATGCTGTTTAATTATAATATTGCCAAATTAGGACCTAAACCCTCAGCAGATGCTTTTACCTAAATTGTTCTGCTAATTTATATTCATTAAAATGCTTCTAATTAACTGACAGTCAGTTACATATATAACGCTACATATATAAAAATATGGTCTCTATATGACAAGACTTGATAATGAATTTTCAAGCTCTGACATGGAATGAAATTTATGGTTACAATAATTAAATGTAAGTAAATTTCACAAAGAAATTAGTGAAATAATTCTGACAATTTTTGCTATGAATGTTATGGGTTAATACAATTTGGGGTAATATGTACAGTGATTTATATGATTAGAAAACAAAATAAACTCCATTAGCTGAGTTGAATGCCTTATTTTTTGATTTATATAAAATATTCCTCTTATTTTTAGATTTTCTAAATAATATTCATTAAACACTAACTTGAAATAAAAGAAATCCATAAGTTGTGTAATTTTTCTATTTTCTATTCTGCAGCACTATAGTACTTTATCAATTCAGCTGTCAATAAAAGCAGCTTCTCTTTTTAATGGAGAAAGCTATATCCTATGTGTAAGCATTATTTAAATTAAAGACCATTAAGGAGCGCAGCTAATTTAATTATTGTAGTTCTGCAACTCCTTTGCAGAGATCAACTGAAATCTAAGCCCCAGAAAAGCCAGGGGACCCTGAATTTCACTAACTGTTTATTTTAAAGCAGGCCTCGTTTATTTTAAAGCAGGCCTCACATTCCATCTTTGCTTGAATTATTAGAATTTAACATGTGGAGGATCTAGCACTCCACCTCCGAAAATGACAAATATTTGATAATCATATTTTTCCAAGTTCAACAGCAGCAATTTGCAGAACATGGTAATGTAGCCCAATAATCCATGTTTTATTTTCTCCATCTATTAACAGGATATGAAATTCTGGTATTTTCTTATAATGTTCTTCCTTCATTCCTTCTGATACACTTAAAACCAGGTTGAAGGATCATTTTGCAGTTTAAGTGCGTGACACAGATATACAGGTTTCCTAGATATACACCTTCCTGCACAGCTCTAAGCAAACCAAACCTCACATTCTGCACCTGCAAAACAGGAAGATTATTCTCATCCTTTGCAGTGATGTTAGCAGTGACAGATGCTGCCAGGTCCTTACACCTCTGTAGAACTGCAACGCCCACCACATTTTCCACTTCACTTCAGACACCAAACAGGTATAATCTGTGTGTGGTACCCAGTCAGTCAATGGACAGATAAAGAGCTTTCAGGGAGGCTCCACTTAGGCCTTCTCTAAGTGTGTTTGTTATCACATTCTATGGAAGGACCTGGGAGAAAGACGTAACTGCATTAAGCCTTTCAATTATGTATGTGAGCAGGGATTGTTTCCTAAATATTCCCAAATAATGTAATTCTCAATCTACAGGGAACATAGACCCAAACTGCTTTGGGGGACATCAGCATATCCAAAAAGAGAAGGAGCACAATATGAACCAGCAATGGCACTTTCAATACTATTCACACTTCTCTCTCACCAACACATCATTATAGGCATTGCAACAATTAATCCCAAGAGCTATGTTTCTAAATGAACAGCCATCAAAAACTATGTACTAACATGCCCATCACTGTAAAACTCCTTGATGAGGCTACAGTGATTAATTAAAGATGTACCCACACAACAACGGTATGGGATTTGTATTGAGCAAGTACAAACTCTAGATGTAACAGTACTTAACTACCTGAAAGTGTTATTTCCACAAATTCACAAGTAAATTCAACACAGCAGTTTCCCAGGAGCTTCTATTTCTTGTTCCTCACCATGTTTCTGAAGTGTGTGTATGACCAATTTGGAGAGCATAGTAATTATGGACTCTCTTAAATGGCAACTTCGATTGCAAAAATTTGTTAGTCCACCTACCTCTTTTCCCACTCTGTAACAGACACTTCCTCTTTTACATACATTATGCATAAAACAACTGCTGAATTTTAATCACCATGTTAGTAACTGAATTCTAATTACAAGTTTGACATCCCTAGAAAAAACATAGCTCTAAAGCTGTCTAGCACATTTTGAGCTTATATCACACCACCAGCTCTGCAGATTTATATAATCTAGGGTTGATTTGAGCAGCCACAACCAAAGCAAGCATAGATAAAGTGACCAGGGACATTAAAGTGTGAAAATACCGTTGCTATGAAGCAAGAACAAAGAATATTTTGACTTTCTTCAAAAGTCTAGGCATCCTGCAGAGTTAAGCTTGTGCCTAAGGGCCTGTTAAAATGATCTGCTCCTCTCATCAGTGAATCTTACCTTTCCCTCCTAATGTTAGTGGAGCTCCAACAGGCATCACAGAAGGCAACTCATCATAGTTCTGAGAATATATTTTCCTTAAATCTTTTTACAACCGCTGGCAAATTGCCCGTCTTGATCACATACCCCTAGGGAATAGCGCTTAGGAACAGTAATAGGTGTCCTCACTAGTGCTCCAGAACAGCATACTTCCAACGTGCCTTTCACTAGAGTTACAGTCCACAGAGATTAGTTCTGGGAGGTTTTGTTTGTTTGTTTAATTTTAAATCAGCAACCCAACAGTGCAAGTAGAAAAGATACCTAACCAAAAAAGCACCACATTCTGAAAATAAACAGTTGCAACTACTCAAGTCACATTATGCAAAAAGCATGTTGCTATCATACTTCACAGCCAAAGGAGTTCTCTGCTTAATCATCATAATCACAAAGTGCAAAGCTCCAGCCACCTGCATAATAAATTTTGCCAGTCTTAACCTCTGCAACTTGCTTTACGTCTTTGAAAAGTCCTACCAGAAGAGCCTTCCTGGCTAGGCAAAATAAGACAGGCTGCCCTTCATTCTCAGAAAACCTAGATATTCCTCATCTTCCCACCCGTCCCCTCCCTCCTTTCCTTTCCTCTATGATTACACGTGATATTTCAAGATCTTCTTTAAGGCAAAGCAGTTTCAGCAACTGATTAGTAGTTTGTAAGTGACAGACATGGCAACAGGTAACATGAATTAGCACTGAAGTTGTAGATACAGGGCAAACAGCTGGCTATTACTGACTCGTGTAACTCCCCATACCTGTGTCACCTCCTCTCTGGCAGATGTCCCTGACTTATCAGCTGGGAGAACAGAACCTGAGCAACCTTCAGCCTTTTCAACTTGAAGTTTGGTGGTCTCCTTCAAATTTCTTCCTTGGGTCTTTTGACCCTCATTGGACTTCACTGAAGTGACTGGGGATCACTGCTAGGTCCTGCTCTCTCTCCCCTACCACCTGATTGTAACTTTTGTCAGAAGGACAATAAACCCTTAAAGTGCTGCAGCTGTTTGCCAAATGAGTGACTCAGTCCTGAAGTTACAGGTGAGGACAATCCAGGGTTTGTAACACCAGGGTTCAGCACACATCAGATCACTGCTTAAACATCTATCCATTCTGGTACCTGGCTGGCACAGCGCATTGGCAGGAAGCCTGTTGAGGCTGTGTGGCTGCTGAGGGAACACCTCACGCTGGCCTTGACTCTGCTAGGAAAAAAAAAAAAAAGAAAAAGGAAAACGTAGTCACACCTGTGCAACAACAAAAAATTACACCAAATTTTAGCTCACATTCTCCACAAATGACAAGAGCAACAACCCACAGTCATGCCGTTGCTGGAATTTAATCAGAAATTGTTTCAAACAAAACAAAGCACTAAGGTTGTTCTGAAACAAAGTAAAAAGCAATGGCAAATTACCACAGCCCCCACACTGTACAGCAAAACAGACCATCAAAAATAGAGCTTAATTATAAATAAACACCCTGACAGCAGCCTTTTAAATTGCAAATCTTAATCACTGTGAGAGAGACAGCTGTTCTAAGTGCGAGTTTTCTCACTTAGAGAGTTTTCTTCTAATAAAAATGCTCATTCTAACACCAAAACTTCAGTGGGAAGAATTTTATGGACTATTATCCCTCAAAGAAGCTCTGTTTGGATTTGTGTACAACAAAGCGGCCTCCACTCCTACTCTCAATTTAAGTAAAAGGCAGATAATTTCAGTTTATTTCACTGTTGTTTTTCAAAGTCGGGAGGAAATGCCCAATGGAGAACAGCACTAATCAGCAACCAAGAGTGCAGGAATGTCGACCAAGTGACTCTCTACAGAACAAACAGCACATTCCCAGGACCATGGCAAACTTGCCCAGACTTCAACCGGTTTGTTTGTTTTTTTTATTTTTCCTTTAAAGATCTAGGGGGAAAAAAGAGTCACTCGGTTGAGGCCTTTCTCCTTGATAATATCTTTGGATGAGCCCTCCTATCCATTTGTGGACTTTCAGGCTACCTTAGACATAGCGTGGAACCCGGCCTGCCTCACCGACTCAGGCCATTCATAACATCAGTCCTTTTCTACACTATAATGCAGGATGCAGCTGTAACCTCTATAGTCCTGCTTAAATAATTTACTGTTAATAATTACATATTCATTTGATTCAACTTAAATTCTTATAAACTTCGATTTGTGGATGGCTTATATCAGAAGTCATGAAATGTTCTAAGTAGCTTTTTCACATAGGTCTATGATGCATATGCATTCTTATTCAAACAGTGCATGCTATTAGGACTAAAAGTATTCAACAGCAATAAAAGAAATCCCAAATTGGGATGTTCTTCAAAATGTTTTTCACAAATGGACTGCAACATTCAGTCATGGTTTCACTGCCATCTGGCTACATTTAAAAAATGTAACGTAGCAAGGAGACAATCACATACGCTTTAAAGAAAAATAGTCACAATGTATGGTTGGTTGACGAAATTTAGACTGGCAAACAGAACTCCAACAGTCTGCAGCTATTTTGCATGGAGAAAAATGCATCTATCAGAGTGGTCAAGCACAGGTTTTGCCACCACAGGTCCAACGGGCACTCGTCAGCCCAGAGAACTAGGGGGGAATTCAGGGAAGTCCTTCGTAGGTGGGATGGCAAATGAGGGCAGAGAATACCAGCATCAAAGACGGTGAAACCGTAGAACCATAGAATGGTTAGAGTTGGAAGAGACCTTAAAGATGATCGAGTTCCAACCCCCTGCCAGGGGCAGGGACACCTCCTGCTAGACCAGGTTGCTCAAAGCCCCAGCCAGCACAGCCTTTAAAAGTATTTAAAAAAAAAAAAAAGGCATTTTGCTTTAAGCGAGACAGGACAGGCAGAGCTTTGACAGGTTTTCCTATCTACAGCCCCAACAGGGAGGGGAGGCAGTTGTTTCCCCTTCACAAGGCAAACCCTTCCGACGCTTTCAAGAGGACACAGGTTATTTGCAGGAGGACGCCAGGCCGGGTACCGGGGCCGGCCCCGCCGCCCTGCTGCGTGAGCTGCGACGCCCCCGGGCCCCCGCCAGGCCTCCGCGCTCCCGCCCGCCCCGCCGGCAGGG